CTTTCTTCTCACAGCTACAATCATGCCCAAGTTCAGCTCTGCTGCAAGGAGAAGGACCACTGGGACCCTCTGCCTCTGCTTCAGTCCCCAGCCTGCTCCAAGCTCCAGCCACCGGCTCATTTATTTACAGGGGCATCCAGACAGTAATTAAAATATGCTAAGGAGGTCCCCTGGTCCACTGAAACTCGATCCAATGATGAGCAGCCTGCGATATGCCGGCCTCTCCTGCCCCTCCCCTTGAGTGCACACATATTAACTTTTAGGGCGGCAGCTTGCATTGCTCCACATGTTATGTGGGAGAATTTCATGAGATTTTAATGAGTTTGTACCACCGTGAGGGAAAGCTCACAAAGGATCCATGCAAATTGCTTTGTCTCATGCAGCCAAGCCAGCATAGTGATGCGCCTCCCTGTCTGGCTTTGGGAAGGACGGGTAGATATGCTGATGTATGCACACTGGGCCCTGAGCAGTTTCGCCTGCAGGAGAGCAAGGTGAAGCCAGGGCTGCCAACACACTTCCATCTGCAGGATGAAATCCCCGGAAGGATTTTTCCACCCAGGAATTCCCACAAGGACACCTGCTGGCCAGGATGGTAGACCTTTTGTGTCACCAATATCCAGGTACCTCCTGCTTGCTACTCAGTTTTCACATCTGTCCAATGGGCTATAGGTGGTAATCCTACTGCCTTGGAGCTGACTTCTGCTGGAAAATAAGACGCCAATTCCAATTAGTGAGCTGATGGGTGAATCTAATGCCACCGTCCATTGGCACGGTCATCAGATCAGAAAGGACTGTGACCAGCAGGGGTCAGGCACTTATTCAGCAGTCTGCAAGATTGTTCTTCTTCACCATTTCCTTTGAAAATTGCATTTTATTTGCCCATGTGCATGCGTGTGCGTGTGCGTGTGCGTGTGCGTGTGTGTGTGTGTGTGTGTGTGTGTGTGTGTGTATACACGTGCATTCCTCAGCATACCAGTGGCAGTTAGAGGGCAACTAACTGTGGGAGTTGATTCCCTCTTCCTACCTTGTGGGTCCCAGGGATAGAACTCAGGTCATCAGACTTAGTGGAAGACACCTTTACCTGCTGAGCCATCTTGCTGGCCCTCCCCACGTTTATAACAAGCAGACTGGCTCTCAGGAAGATGTGTCACAAGTAAGGGGACATGTGAAAAAAAAAAGAAATGAGTTCTCCTTCACCACACTGTGGAAGCAACAAGCTTGTAAGGACTTGCAGATTGAGTGAACAATCACAGACAAGAACCAATCTCTCTCCAAAAAAAAAAAAAAAAATCCTGAGAAGCCCTATCTTAAAAGAAGTGTGTGGGGAGTGATGCAGGGGGACACACCCAGGACCCTCCTCTGGTCTCTATACATGCACATAGGTATGTGTACCCACACAAACCTACACCATACAGAAAGAGAGAGAGAGAGAGAGAGAGAGAGAGAGAGAGAGGGAAACAGAGACAGAGAGACAGAGACAGAGAGAAAACATGTTTTACCAGAGGTCAAGAAAGAAAGCAGAACTAAGCCAGCACACCAACAGTCCCCACTACCCTCCAGACCGCTCTCCAGGACTAAACCCTGTGCTGTCTGAGCACAGAGAACACATCTAGCTCTTCTCTTGACCTCCAGGGTCTGCCCAGTACTGAGCTGGACCAAGTACCCAGGTTTGAAGTGCCAATAAATGTCAAGGAATGCTTGCAGAATTTTATCTCAGTGAATATCAGAGGTTAACCCTTTGCCATGGGTACTGTTAACAACCAGCATGTGGCTTCTGGGTGGCTTTCTAAAATGGAGTCGATGGTAAAAAGAGGAGGTATCCTGTATCAATAATGCCTTAAAAGCATTAATTTAGAGATGCAGGGGTCTTCTTGCTTCTGTAAGAACCTTACACGATGGTCTTTCTGGCCCATCTGACAAGTGCATGGCAGACCTCTGAACGTTTCTACACATCCCTTCATAAGCTGACATTTATTTGTAACGTGCTAGTATTTAGGGACCGGTCATGTCAGGAGCCCTGTGCTCAGGGTTGGGATTTGAACCCCTCTAAAAAAGATTGGTGAAAGCTGTTTGTCTCTTCCCTCATGTGCAGTCTCAGAAAGTACCATCCTGGCGGTGAGAAACATCAGCCTCCAAGCCAACCAGTGTCTTCTCAGCTCACATCACTGTGGGGATGAGGACACGGTTATGTTGTGTGCGAATTATCCCATCAGAGGTATTTGCTTCCAGCCATGCTAGATATGTACAGATAAAAGTTGGGAATGGGCAGACATTGTTCCGAGTGTCAAACATCTGGGGAGCGGTACACCTGCCTTAGGTACCAGGTGTCCTAAAGCTAAGCCCTAGTCTTTCTAGGAGTGTCAGTTTTGCCACCAGCTTGTCTCTCAGTGTCTCCTCCTCTCACTCCCTCCAAATTCCCAAGTCCCGGGTGCATACATTCTGCAAACCATTGTCTTAAAAAAGTTCTTTTGGCCATCATGAAAGAACATATGTTTAAAGCTGAAAAACCAAAATAGAGAAAGGAGATCAACTCCTTCAAGGTCAGGTTCTAAAAGCATCCTTGTGTTCCACTTCCTCTCGGCGCTTCTCTTTATCCCGTCTCTCCAATGCTTTCTACGACCTTCTAGCAGGACCCATCCCAGAGGCCTCCGTTGCCACAAATTATATATATTGTTTAGCAGAGTCCTTGGGTAAATTTAAGTCATTGTTTGAAATAGACACCGTCTTCTGTTGCCTCTGCAAAAATTTTCGGTCGATTAAGCAACAATAATGTGGATTGTTCTATGAGTACCTTGGGATAGTTGCCCAGAATACTGTATATAAATCCAATTGTATCAAAGTCAATTAAACCCCATTGTTTCTAAAAGTCACCTGCCTGACTTGGGGGAAGTGGGGATGAATGTAAAAGACACAACAAGTGTTGAAACTAAAATCCAATCAGCTAGCTAGTGTTTCTCAGCTTGGGAGGGAAAGGATTAGGGGGAGGGGTCTTGGAAGCTGGGTGAAAAGCTTGCCAGATCATTCGGGGTGCCAAGGGTTGCTCATGGGGGCATCTAAAGTTTAACCGCCCTGAAAGCAAGGAAGAAGGAGACAGAGAGCATTCATTTTGTCACTGTGGTGCACATGAAAGGAACTTGTCATCCCAACTTCACGAGAGGTGCTGGAAGCTGAAATGTGCAAGCCCACAGGGACAGCCTTCTTTATCATCACCGTCTTTCTTTTTTTCTTTCTTTCTTCTTCTTCTTCTTCTTCTTCTTCTTCTTCTTCTTCTTCTTCTTCTTCTTCTTCTTCTTCTTCTTCTCCTTCTCCTTCTCCTTCTCCTTCTCCTTCTCCTTTTTCTTCTTCTTCATCTTCTCTTTCTCCTTCTCCTCCTTCTCCTTCCTCTTCTTCTTCTTTGGTGTTATTACAGAGGAAAATTATAACCATAAAAATGTCCAATTTAGAAAAAAAGGTGCCACTTTCCATCATTTGCATAAAAGCTGTTATACACAAATTGTTATAAAGACGAATGTGCAGTACCCTTGCTCAAATTGCTTATATCTCTGCTGCCTCGTCTCCAGCGACATAAAGCCCTCTTCAAAGCGAAATTCATTCTCAGGTAAATAAGCTGAAAGCGAATTTCACGTCTTGGAGAAGATGTGAGTGGGTGCTTGTGTTGTCTTAGCTTTCAACAGCCCGGGTCAGTACCTCCTCTCCACTCCATGTCCCTGTGGGGCTAGGCTCCTCTGACGGTGAAGGCAGCTCGCTCTTGCTGGAGCCGAGGATGTTCCAAAGCTACTGTGCAAACAGAAATAGGCAGAGCAAGGTACTTGAGCTACAAGGATACAAGGGAGCTCCTTTTGTGGGATAAATTCTTACCTTTTCCTCTTTTTTTATCTCCCTCCCCACCCCTGTGTGTGTGTGTGTGTGTGTGTGTGTGTGTGTGTGTGTGTGTGTGCATGTGGAGGTCATAAAACAACCTCCATTGTCTTTGCTCAGATTCCGTTAATCTGGGTTTGGGGATGTGGGTTGTTGTTGTTGGTTGGCTGATTGGCTTTTCACTTCTTTTCTTGTTTCGAAACAATGAAATTCTCACTGGTCAGGATTTCACTAGCAAAGTAGGTGTCCTATAGAGTTCATGTCAACTTGACACAGCCTAAATCTATCTGGGAAGAGGAAATTGTAATTGAGAAAATGCCTCCCTTAGATTGGCCTGGAGGCAAGTCAGTGGCACATTTTCTTAATTAATGATGATGATGGAGAACCCAGGCCATTGTGGGTAACAATACAACTGGTCATGTAGTTCTGGGTTGTATATGGAGGAAAACTGAGTGAGCGTGGGGACCAAGCCTGTAAGCAGCATTCCTCTATGTTCTCTGCCCCAACTTTCCCCAGTAACGGAGTGGGAGCCAAGAGTGGCAAACTGAAAAAAAAAACTCTTCCCTCTCCAAGTTGCTTTTGGTCCTGGTGTTCTATGACAGCAATAGTGACTCATATTAAGACGGTTAAGCGGGTTGTCTAGTGACCTCGCAGGTCTCCCTGTGTCTGCTTTCTCTACCCAGGGATTACATGTACAAACCCCAATGCCTAGGATTTTTTTTATATTTTTATGAATTAATTTTTTTACTTATTTTACATCTGATGGCAGTTTCTCCTCCCTTCTCTTCTCCCAGGCCCCCCTCCATGTCCTCTTTGTCCTCTGCTCTTGTTCAGAAAGGGACAAGCCTCCCATGGATGTCAATAAAGCAGGGCATATCAAACTGAGGTAGGACTAAGTTTCTCTCCCTGTAGCAAGGCTGGTCAAGACAACCCCGCATTAAGAACAGGTTCCCAAAAGCCAGCCAAAGCATTAGGGACAGGCCCCACTCCCACTGTCAGGTCACACAAGTAGACCAGGCTATGCTACTGTCACACACGTATGTAGAAGGCTTAGGTCGGTCCGTTGAAGACTCCCTAGCTGTCGGTCCAGAGTTTGTGAGCTCCTATGAGCCCGTGTTAGTTGTTTTTGTGGGTTCCCTTGTAAAAATATGCAATGCTTCTCAAATTCGAGCGTCATCCTTGCACAGGGAACACGCTAATCTCTGTATCTTTCTAATGTTAGTATATGTACTGCTGAAGTGAACACTAGGACTTTTTAATGTGGATTCTGGGGTCAATCTCAGGTCCTCACGCGTGCAAACCAATCGCACTACCTACTAAGCTGTCTGCTCAGCCCAGACTCCCTTCTACCTAAGGTGGACTTCCAACTCAGTCTGGAGAGTTCCAGTGTTTGCTGGATTCATCCCTGCCTGCACTTGGTCATGGCCTACTTCTTCTTCTTCTTTCAATATTACTCCCTAATTAAAGGATGCATGTTAATTGCCATTAATCACTTCACTCACCACTGTGGCATGTTCCCCAAGTACTTCACCAGTGTGGTCAAGAATGTGATATGGGTTTGCCCTGGGCCGGGGACAAAGAGAATGCAAAATCCAACACATATGTGACATGGTCATTTAC